TGTCGGTTGTGCGTCCTCCGCGTTCTGTCGTCTACACGGAGTTCCCACACCACTAGTCGTTGAAGATGATGATCGCATTCATTGACCACGACTGTCTACGCCCCCCACTCCCCGCTCATCGACCAATGCATAGACCTATCTTTCGTGTTGCCAAGGGACCCCACTGTCGGGCCATCCACCACCCCCAGTACACCCACAGACGTTTGACAATGTCCTGCGCGATCCCCGTCAGGGTGAGGATTGATGATGTGTGTGTGTGTCGCTGCCGATCCGCTCTCGTTGGACAACCTAAAGGTGAGATCAACTGCAACATCTGCGTGGCAGTTACCCAACCTGCCCACCAACAGTGACGTGTACAAGCACGGTGCAACGTCCGTCGTCGGAGTACCGAAGAACTGGCTACCAGCCCAATCTTGCGTCGATCCGCTCCCTGGAGGCACACTCAATGACCGATCAACATTGTGGTCCTACTCGTCATCCATTGGCAGCAAAGCAATCTTGTGTGAAGGCAGGTAAGTGTACAGTAATGGATTGTACGGCTACATGTTTGCACTCTCCGCAATATGTTGTCGGGTCAAGGATCCTCTTGCCGTGCTTGCCGATGTGCTCTTCGTCACACGTCGGTCCATCCTGTCGCCCTTCTTCGACGATCGCCTCTTCCGCATAGGTCTAAGCACCCGCCCCGGGAAATACACGTGGAACAAGAGGACAACCAGAAGCAACACAATGAGGAGGAGCATCAGGCGGAGCCTGTGACACAAGTCGGCCATGAATGGCACAGCGGGGACATAACAATATCACGTCTTTGTCAAACGTCCAACAAGCAACAGCACAGAGTACAGCAACACAACAACAGGAGATAGAAAACGACATCATTGCGCAAGCTACTTCCATCCAGAAGATGGAATACCATGGTCAGGCGCTGCAGGAAGAAATATTTGAATTTTCTGACCGTTGCCGATGCTTCTCCAACACGGGAGACTGCATGACGCCAACTGAAGACGATAACACCACCAGATGGAGGTCGAGCGCCAAAGGTAACCGTTGGAGACCGTTGCAGGACTAGGCAGACGTTGGTGGGTGGGGATGTCCGAGCTGACGGCGTCGGACCACGTCTTGACCACCGAAAAAAAGGAAGGTTTCCATTGATGCCTGTCTTCGCCACTCCTGAAATCGCAGTTCCTTAAGCCCCAAGGGACCTCGTGACAAGGCAATTTTGGCTGGGGCAGCATGGACGCCACAATGAATTTTCGTTGTGGTGTTTTCACTTTACTTTTTCATTTCCATCCCCAAGGACAGTTGGAACGAGCGTGCCCTTGTGGATTTCGCTTCCCTGAGGAATGTCTAATGACACCCTAAGAATCAGAGAATTAAAACATTTGGATGCAGAGACTGGGAGAAAAAAAGGGAAAAAAGATCTAGAGACCCATGAATGAGCACCTCTTCACCTATTGTTAGGCACCCGATCTAGCAACAGTACTTGACCCTGATTCACTCAAGGGAGCTTGGGATTCGAGTCCTCCCTGAAGGTATAAGTTAAAGGAAACACAGACACTCCTCACCCTTCAATCAGAACCAAACCAGGATCTTGGAACCAGCTGATGGGGGCGGGGGGAAGGGGTCAGGAAACTCCAACAATGGACGTAGGGGTATGGATGGATCTACCATTGTCCAATCTTCAAATACAAGCCTACAGTCCCTACTTAGGGTCTCGTTAGACGCTCCTAAAGAATTCCTAAGAGATTGAGAACGAGTCCTAAAAGAATTTTAGGAATTGCTGCTGCGTGGTTACACACATTCCTAAAGAAAAACTTTTAGGAACTGTCCTAAAGGGTCTCCGGCTGCCTGTTTTCATATACATATATAGAACTGTTCCGACGATGTCCGTCCATTGCAGCCTCATGTCCGTGGTAGACAGGGCGGTGGGCCCTGTCCAGTTCATGACGGGGAGGTGAAAAGCATGCGGAGGGAGGGATTCAAAAATTCAAATTCGAATTTTTGCGGACGCCGGGATGGGGGCAGGAGGACGGGCAGTGGACATGTATGACGTAGAAAAGATGGCGCTGCGGACTCGTGGGGAGCCTTCTTTCGCTGGCACGCGGAGTCATATGTGGTGTGTGAAGTGTTGTGTTGCAGGGAACAGAAGCGGGCTCTTTTGCGGCGACGAGCACAGGTGTTACGCGTGAGACTCGAACGGGCGATGGAGTTGGACGTTCACGGCGGCAGCCATGCATTGTGTGATGAAGAGAGGGAGGCGGTGGCGTTGGCGGTGATGGCCATTGTTATGAACATGATGAGCGGCAGGTAGTCCACACAGCGTGAAATGTGTCTACAGTTGCGGAAGCGTAGAGCGTTGTTGCAACGGGTGGTTGAAGCTGCGGATTGCGTGGTCACATCTGAAGCGGTCGTGCAACTGTGTTCGGCGCTCTCCGTCGGCATCCAGCATGATGCCGATAGATTCGACTGCAGGTCCTTCATATGGCGCCATATGCAGAAGAGGTCAGAGGTGGAGACCACCCCCGCTTGCCATCCCGGGTCCGTTTCGCCCGCCAACGCCTACCGATGGTGTCGTTGCTTTCATCCCGCCACTGGAGGCCTCCAATGTCGGACCTCAGGCCCGATGGACAACCTCTGCACAACGGAGTCAGAGACAACAGTGCCCTGCGTGCGTTGCCAAGCCTCCGTCAAATGCGGCTTCCTAAAAAATTTAGATGCTCGGGAGGAGCTTTATTTTTAAGGAACTTTTGCCTGGGGATTCCTGAATTTTTTAGGACTGGTCCTAAAGCCGTTTTCACATTTTCTTTCACAAATTCGGGTTGAGGAATGTGTGTAACCACACTGCATTCCTAAAACTCTTTTTTTTAAGGAGTGTCTAACGAGACCCTTGTTTCTTTATTCTCCCCTCTTTTAATTCCTTCCCATTTTACTCTTCCCATTTCTTGCTTCTTGGTTTCCTCCAAGCCACCATTTGTTCTTTGAGGCAGCTGCAGGGGGCGATATGAGCATCCCCCTGTAGCCCATCCGAGTCTCAAGACGCCTCCTCTCTATTGGTGGGGAGCAACACCTGCTGGAAACCCAGTCCAGCGTCCCATTTTACATGTTGTACATGCTGGAAACCGGGTCCAGCATCCCATTTGCCAGTTATGTATGCAGGGAGAGCAGGGGTCATTACCCGACTGTGTCAGTATAGAAACCAGTTAGTGTCAGGGCCATTGCTAGCCAACATATGAAAGGATTGGTCAAGTAAGTAATCCAGCTAGACCAGACTGCATTCTTGGAAGGTAGGAAAAAGATAATATCATACTTATCAATAAGGTGCTAATGATATATAAGGCTGATGAAATCTTGCTCGTTGTTGACTTTGATAAAGCCACGACCACATGGATCGCAAAGTCCTCAGCTCCCATAGGGGAGAGTTTTTAGAAAATGAGTCACAAGACTGCACCACACAACAACAACCAGAGTCCAAATAAATGGAGTGGACCTCTTTCCAAAGGTTAGTCGGACAGGGTCCCACACCTATTAATTGTCATAATGGAAGCATTCACAGCAAACCTCAGAAAACACAAAGATATCACCCGGAGTGGCGATCCCGGGGCAAGCCATCCCTATATGCTCCCTGCTTGCTGATGATTTGTCCTTGATGACTGACGCAACGTAGACCAACCTAATGGAAGGCCAAAGACTCCTAGACAGATTCTGCAGCCTCACGGACATGAGGGTAAACTAGGGAATCAAGACAGTAGGTGGCGGTCAACCACCATGGAGTTAGGCCACCGGAGGCATCAAAGAGCACATGGACCTCACTAGAACGGCCTATTAGGGTGTTAGGAATCAGACTGGCTCCCTATGGTAAACCAACAGACAATGACAACTTGTGCCTAAATCCGGCCTCGCCCTGGAAGAACAAACAGTCATCCATCATGGGGAAGTTAGGGAGACAAACAGACCACACAAAGCGACTGTCCCACGGAGGATAAAAAACCAGAAGCAAGCGCAAAACTCAACTCTTTTTCTTCATCAAACACCGCACAAAACCGCACAAAACTACGCTTCCCCTCAATGCGATTCGACTTGCTCGTAGTACAAGTCTCATCAGGAGGAGGTGGAGGAACATAAGTCCCTCGGTCAACTTTATATAACGATCTCAACCCTCCTTACTTTCCTCTCTCATCCGCCTTCTCTCTCACGTCCCACCACACCACCTCCCCATCGTCGTTCATCAGTACTGGATTACACATCATTCTGACTATCTCCTTATCCCCCACACCATAGTCCGCTCGGAAGAAGAAAAACATACTCACTCGCACCAGCACGCTGCCGTGCAACGCGAGTCACACGCACTGGCCAAAATGGCAAAGAGAAGAGTCAGCGGGCAGCGCTACTTAGATATACTACCCGAAGTTCCCAGTCTGTGCCGGCGCCCAAAAAACCATCCCAGGCACATAGTGYTGTTCTRTCGTGGCTCTAAGTAAGTCCGTGTGGTTCCAAAAAATTGCGCCCAAACCCAAAGCCGTCCACATCTGGCCTCCGTTGGCGCTTCAAAACTGCAGCGGGATCTGCTCCCACCAAATCTTCGAATGGCACCAGTTGGTGCCCAAAAACCAGTCCATAATTCCATCCAGATTCGTCCGCGATCTTGCCGGCGGGAGATACTAGGTAGCCCCTCCAATCAGATGCTGTTCCCAGGCTACCTGGTCCTGCGCCCCGCCCAGGGACCCTCGTTTCATCGAATTGTACCCCCCTTCCCTTAGTATCGGCCAAGGAACCTATTTCAACGCTCATTCAACTTAATTCAAGGCTCATACCCCAATGTTTCGGTGGAGGTATACCTGAGCGATTAAAGACCGCCAGGTACCACCCACCACCTTGGCAAATCGAGCCAAGGAGCAGAAGAAGACCTCCGGCCCATAGGCGTGCTTCCATTAGTAGACAAACAATTGCAACGCGTGCAGCTTCATCACTGGTGGACGATCTCCACATTCGGAGCATCGAAGCAGTTAACGTCGCCCGCTTTACTTTCTTCGCGGAGTATGATTGGTAATCCTGCATAGAGTGAAAGTGTAAGTTACCCTGCGTCAAAATTGTCTATTGATTCTTAGTCTTAGGAAAAATATGTACCACTGGTGGGCAAGGCTCCATCACCACTCTACTCCCTAAGAAATCCCAGGCATTGAAGCCACCATCTTTCCGAACCAGCTTCAACGAGCTGGGATAACAGCGTTCAAACGACTCAACAATATCAGCCACCCTCTTATAGCTACATCTGTCCAAGCTATCAAATACTACGAGAACCGACACATCATCAACCATTCGAACACCCGAAATCATTCGACGATCATTCCCAAGCAACGACAGGAAGTCAAACTCAGCCTTCGCACACAACAAGTTAGCAATGGATGGAGACAAATGCTTTCCCATCGGAATACCGAACACCTGCCGTTATACCAGCTTATCACAAAGAGTGTATGTATGATTCAGCTCATACATCAAAATTCTACGGATCTGCTCAAAGTCGAGACAAACGTACCCGTCCTCATGCCTACGTGTCTTCGACATCTTACAAGCCTTTCCCCGGATACTTACTTTTACAGCTACGAGACCCCGTCCCATCATCTTGTGTACCAGCCATACCACCGAGGTGATAATGTCATCGTGGGGGAGCTTTGCAAACATATCCTTGATATCAAAGCTCCTCCCGATCACGGTGTCGCCCGCTTTTTCAAGTTTCGTCACGGCTTTAGTCATAGCCTGCTTCATGAAATCCGTTGCCCTCAGACCGAAGTGGGAACAGGCGGGCAGACACAAGAGCATGTATCTCAACGCCTTCACCAGCCTTGCATCCGTTGTTCGAGACGGCTCAGACCACGATGGTGATATCGACCGCCAACGTGCGTGATCCTTGTCCTTTGGAATGACGTAAGCACGTCCCAGTTTTCCACACGTCCTCCATGTGCCCGTCACCTGCAGACCAGCATTCTTATACGCGTCTCTCGCAACGGACAAGATCTGGTCTTCACGTTCCTTCATCCGCAGAAAACCCGGATTCCAGCAAAAGGCCATCCGAAAAGCATGAAAATATAGGACTGGACAAATGACCAGCGTAGCACCCGGGTTCCTATCCAGTGGCACCAGGACTAGTCCCTCCAGATGTTGTATTTCCCATACGACTTCTAGTTCAGTGAGTGCGGACACTCTCGGCTCAGCGGGGGCAAAGCAACATGAGATCTCCTCCTGAGTAATGCTGAGCACTTGCTTCCTCCAGGCCTTCGGAATCGACTTCACTACCCACTCCATCAACTGGTAGCCGGTCAGTGTTCGTCCAGCCGTGACATTCCTGGAATTCTGAACGAAGCGGTGGACACCTGGCACATCATCCAATCGTACGCGCACGTGCCCCTGGTGCCTCTCAAGATGAAAAGGTGAGCAAGTACACTGATCCCGCCTCTGCGTGAGCACCTCCCGGTAATTGTGAATAATGCTCCCGACCGCCCTACCTTTCAGACGGACCAGCCTAAACCTTTCAATAACCAGAGAGCGTACAGCCTCGTCCTTTACTGAAAGAGAGATGATCTTTACGGCGAGATCCCTAACTGCTCGCCACACGATACAAACAGAAAACGGAATCCTAATAACCACTCTCTTCCTAATTTCAACCCCAAACCTCTCCTTGATTACCCTGGCAAGTTTCGCACGAAGTGAACTCCTAGTTGCTGCCCTTGAAACAGGCCCGCCGTCAGGTATAGTGCAGCAGCCCTACAGCTTGAGAGCTTATAAAGGTCTCTAACGCGCCAGGGTTGTGCCATCAAATCTCGCAGGTAGCGCTTGTTCCTTTGCACCCTTGACGGCGTCGCGATCAGCTCCATCACCCGGAATACACACCCGTCATCAATCCGCTTCTTCGCAGCTCAAAGCTTCATCCTCGATCGGTCAATAATAACCTTGGTCTCCCCGTACTCCATCCGCACCTTCTTCCATGAGTCAATCCAGACGTCTCCAGCCTCCGAACGTATTTTAGTACTAACCTTCGTTCCCTCCAGTCCCTTGAACAGTTGAAGCAAAGACGCCATCTTCCGACCGTCGTGCCAGAACGTAATAATTCCACGCAGGGATACATCCTTCTTCCATGCCTGCCGCACTCGCCCCTTCCTCTTCGCCTTCGTACTTTGGCCCCGCCCTATCACATTAAGAAACGGTGAGAATCTTGCAATTAATACTCGTTCTACCGCCAAGCCATCCCCTACATCAGTCACCAACAGTATAACAACGTACTTCTTCCAACCGAAAAATCGTAGCCAGGAGTGCAGCCTAGGTGCGTTGCCCACGTTTCCTGATTTCGCGCACCTCACGTGCTCTGCCCATCCAGTCACAATGCGCCTCGTGGTGCAGCTGATATAGAATCTCCGGCACCAAGGACTTACAATCGCATAAACCCCTGATTCATTCACATTGATCCGCAAGGGATCGATGAATCGCAAAAGTTTTCTAATCCACGGAAGGAAGCCGCACACTGTCATCAGCACAACAAGCATCGCAAGAACACTCTCATCATCTGATACGAGCAGTGGGAACATGTCGCCTGCCTCTCTCAATCTTCTCTTCACAATCAATCGCCTTACCCACGAAGCAGCGGCACGCGTATCTATGTCCTCAGTCATATTTCGTCAAGGCCGCCCACAATTTTCCTCGTCCCTGGCGTAGTCTGGCTTCTCCCTTCGAAGAAGCCTTCGTACGCAAGTCGAGTACGGCAGCGGACAATATCAGCGACGGCTTGATCCTTCACCACATAAACCACGCCCTCCTGATCGCAGATCTTCCTCACCTCAGCCGCCTTCAGAGCACTAAGAGCCCTCGATTGAGTGAGAGCATACTCAATCATGCCCTCACCCGATCCAGCCGCCGGACACACCTTCCTAGGAGTCTGAAACTCGTCCTCATCCACCGGTTCCTCCTGCACTTGAGCCTTCGTATTCTTGGGAGTAGGATTCCTCTTCATGACTCGTCCTACCATTGTTCTTGGTGTGGCAGCGGTCTCCTTCTTGCAAACTTTCTTCCTTTTCTCAAGAGCGTCAATCAACTTCTCCGCCTCCTCCTTTACTTCTTCGCTATCATCCTCAAATTCGGCAATATAACTCCTAATCTCCCTCAGCATTCGTGCCTTCGACCGCGAAGATCTCTTCTTCGATTCAGTAATGGCCGTAGGAGGTGGAGCAATCATAACAGATTCTCTCCTCTGGTTGAGAATACATACGATCGTCGCCTCCAGTCGCGCCTCTCTCGCCTCCTCCTCTTGTAGCTTATCGCCCTCTCTCCTCTCCTCCTCCTCCCTCTTCTTAGATTCCTCTACCTCCCGTTTCCTCTTTTCCTCCTCGCAATCCTCTGTAACAGTTCCCTCATCTCAGTATTTTCCTCCTCAGGCTTCGGCCTGTTGGGAGATTGCCAGCAGTTCCTAGCATAATGGCCGAGCTTACCACAGATGTAGCATTGAACCACCCCATAGGGCGTTGCCGGCACATTACCAGGCAGCGCCATATTCGGGCCACCCACGGTCTGGGTCCCGATACTCTGTCCCGCCATCATCGGATTCACAGTCTGTCCTCTGTATCCTTGGTTCATCACGCCCACACCCGCTACACCCGCCATACTCACACACGACGAACACAGGTCAGTAAGAATAGATATCGCCTGACGCATCAACGAACAGATCCGGCTGTAATCACGAAGTAGATTACTCAACACAGGAACCACCTTCACTTTATACCAGCACGAAGCGCGCTTAGCAGTCAATATCACCGGTGTAAGTACCAAGCGGTATAACGTCGTCAGTAAACGTTCACTCCGGTTCAAGTAGTCAAGTATGCTTCTCCTCACCGTCAAACTGTGCCTGTCTGGGACAGTCATTCGCCAAATGATGCTACCAATCAGCTGTTTCACGACCCTCCGGAGCCTCCTCAACCCACACAGATGCCTGAAGATACATCGAGTCCTCTTCAGGTACGGCGTCATTCTAATCGTCCTCTTTACCCCACGTTTTTTTTCTTTTTCTCCGTAATTAGCTAACCCCACCCAACTTACCACACACCAAGCTCGGTTCTCGCTACCAGAGGTAGCAGATAACCACGTGGCCACTCTCAAGGCTCAAGGCTACGTCGGTTGCCACGGCTTCCCAGAAGTTAGGGAGACGAACAGACCACACAAAGCGATTGTCCCACGGAGGATAAAAAACCAGAATCAAGCGCAAAACTCAACTCTTTTTCTTCATCAAACACCGCACAAAACCGCACAAAACTACGCTTCCCCTCAACGCGTTTCAACTTGCGTGTAGTACAAGTCTCATCAGGAGGAGGTGGAGGAACAAAAGTCCCTCTATGAACTTTATATAATAATCTCAACCCTCCTTACTTTCCTCTCTCATCCGCCTTCTCTCTCACGTCCCACCACACCACCTCCCCATCGTCGTTCATCAGTACTGGATTATACATCATTCTGACTATCTCCTTATCCCCCACACCATAGTCCACTCGGAAGAAGAAAAACATACTCACTCGCACCAGCACGCTGCCGTGCAACGCGAGTCACACGGACTGGCCAAAATGGCAAAGAGAAGAGTCAGCGGGCAGCGCTACTTAGATATACTACCCGAAGTTCCCAGTCTGTGCCGGCGCCCAAAAAACCATCCCAGGCACATAGTGYTGTTCTRTCGTGGCTCTAAGTAAGTCCGTGTGGTTCCAAAAAATTGCGCCCAAACCCAAAGCCGTCCACATCTGGCCTCCGTTGGCGCTTCAAAACTGCAGCGGGATCTGCTCCCACCAAATCTTCGAATGGCACCAG